GCTCAGTGGGCCACGGTAAAATTATCAAAGGCTGACTGGTCCGCGGCGATAAAAAGGTTGGGGACCACTGGTGTAGGGTGTCCTGAGTAAGCAGGGGGTTGGACTAGAAGACCTCCAAGGTCTCTTCCTGCTCTGTTATTCTATTTATTCTATTCTATTTAAAAGGATGCAAATTACCAATATAAATCCTTCCATTCCCCACTATCCTGTCAGAGCTGAAGAAGCTTCTTAGAAGAGAAGAGAAATGTCTACCAAAGAAAAACCAAAAAGTCCAGTTGCCTCCTGAAAAAGCACCTTTGGGACAACTATGACCCGGATGACTGAGAATCTCTTCAGGCTTTCAATGGTTATCTACTTTTTATGTTACTGTTTTGCACACCTCTTCATTGCATAAAAGACCCAGGACAAGTAAATTTGGAGGTGGGGCGGGATGGGGGGCGTTGAAAGAGACAAAAGTTCTACTTTTCCTCAGCAGGTCTGCAAAAGCCAGATTGCTGGGGTGGGAGTGCCCATGCTGATCTTGAACAGACCACAGCAGTATAGAATTAGGAAACCAAAGAGATGGAAGCATCATTTGGTCCAACTCCCTGACCAGTGCTGGTATCCTCTCTATCAGCATCCCTGAGCACTGATCATCTATTTTTGTTCCAAGCCCTCCAGTGAATTCTGAGGAAGATCATTTCATGGGTTAACATGTTTTAACCTTCAGAATTCCTTCCTGATGTTTGGCCAAAATTTATTTCCTTGCTGTTTAACCCCTTTCTTTCCTGTCCTCTCTTCTGAAGCCATCAGGAACAGGCCTGTCCCATCTTCTGACAGTCCTTTAGGGACTTGAACTCCTTATTTATCTCCTTAGACTTGTCTTTTCCAGGTCAGCCATATCCAGTGGGTCTAACCATTCTTTGTAACTTTTTCTTTCCAGACCTCTTATTGTCTTGGATGTTTTTCTCACAGTACACTCCAGTTTATTTATTGCATTTTTTATTCCACCTTTTATACTTAATAAATAACTCAAGGTAGCAAACCTCCATCCTCCTCTTCTTATTCCCACAATAACAATCCTGCGACATGGGATAGACTGAGAAATCCAGGTTCCTGACCAACTTAGCTGACAATTTGTCATCCAAAAGGTAGAGGAGGAATTAGAGAGTCAACTTTATCGGACTTAATTCTTACTAAAAGAGATGAAATGATAGAGCGGGTTGAAGTTGCCAGAACATTGGGGGAAGGGTGACCATGATATATTGGAATGGAATATGAAACAAACACAGGCAATAGAAAAAACCAGTGTCTTAGAGTTTAAAAGAGCTGATTCCAACAAACTCAGAGAGAGCTCGGGAAGTTCCATGGATGAAAATATTAAAGAGGAAAACAACTCAAGAAGTTTGAGAAACTCTGAAAAATATTATTATAGATGCCCAGTTCAGCACAATACCACTGAAAAAGAAAAACAAGAAATCTAAGAAGAAAGCAGCATGGTTACACAAAGAACTCTCCAATAAACTGAAAGACTAGATCCTGAAGGCAGGACAAGAAGCAATGGATGGAAACTAAACAAGGAGAGAAGCAACCAAGAAAAAGAAAAATTTCTGGACAGTGAGAACAATTAATCAGGGGAACATCCTGCCTCCAGAAGTTGTGGATGCTTTTTAAGAAGAGACTGGACAACCATTTACCTGAACTGGCATAAGGTCTCCAGCTTCAGGAGGGGGGGTTGGACTGGAGGAACTTCAGGGTTCCTTCCAATTCTATTATTCTGTTCTGTTATTCTGTATCCACCCCATCAAGTGCAAAGAAAGTCCACAAAGCTATAGGATCTCCTCCCATGGGTAGGGGGTTGGACCAAAGATCTCCAATCTCCCTCCCAACTCTATTATTCTCTGTTCTACTTTCAATCTTATTTTCACAAGTAACAAAGAAATATGTGATCTTCCCCAGGAAACCAAATAACAGCAGCCCCGTAGCTAATGTCTCACTGCATATACAGTCATTCTCATTCTATGCAGCGACTCAGGAGCCTTGGTGGCGCAGTGGTTAGAATGCAGTACTGCAAGCAAACTCACTGCTTATGCCAGAAGTTCGATTCTGAGCAGCTCAAGGTTGACTCAGCCTTTCATCCTTCCAAGGTCGGTAAAATGAGAATCCAGATTGTTGGGGGCCAGAGGCTGACTCTGTGAATCACCTAGAGAGGGCTGTAAGGCACTGTGAAGTTTAAACTTATATAAGTTTAATTGCTATTGCTACTTCAGCTTGAGGTCCAAAGCTGGCTGCCACCAAAAAAGGAATCTTCAGTGCCTGTTAAGGGAATCCTATTTCAGACTCTGACCAAAGAGCTGATTTTTGTTTACTCTAAAAAATTATGCACAAGAGTGCTGGGAAGCTAGAAAGGCTTGCGCCTTTGTTAATACTGTAAGCCAATATTAGTGGCACAAGAAGCCCATTGTGTCTACCAAGGCGCTGCAGGGAGACATCTGAAAGCAATCACCCCTAAGAGAAGCTTGCTGGGGAACCAGCAAAAGACACTCCCTTCCACTGAAGTCTGTGACTTCAAAGGACTTTAATTTTTTTCTCAAATGGGAGGGGCAAGCTGAGAGGAAACTGCTAGAAAAACCATTGTGTGGGTGAATGTGTAAAGTTAACATGCAGGGGAAACCCATCAAGGGCTGGAGAACTATTTTATGCAACAATTTCAAACAATATTTCTTGGCTCTACTAGGACTATCCTTGTTGCTTTCACAATTCTAACCAAGTTTCCCACTGCCTCCACTGCTCAGTCAGTAACATAAAGAAGAGCTTTTGACAGGAACTCTTATAAAATAAATTACTGGCTCATCCAAGGGTCTTCAACCGTGGGTCTTGTGACATGTCGGGCAGCCATAAACCAAACCTGAGAGGGTCACAAACTGCCCCCACTCTGCATGGAGCAGCTGCCTTTCAGCTTATCTGAGTGGAGAGGGAAGTGCAGTCTACAGCACAAACAGGGATTAGAGAAAAAGAAAAAGAAAGGAGGAGGTATCTCCTCCTATGTTAACAATCACTGATGTAAAAATGTTACTGTACTAAAGAAATTTTGTGATGAGAAACACTATTCATTAATTGCAGACACTTTCATGCCCCTTGAGGTTTCTCTTCATTTATATTAGTTGGGGTCTATATACCAACTCCTTATAGGCATAAACAACTCATTGCAAACCTTAGCTCAGTGTTTTTCAACCTTTTTTGTGCAAAGGCACACTTTTTTCATGAAAAAAATCACGTGGCACACCACCATTAGAAAATGTTAAAAAAATTTCACTCTGTGCCTATATTGACTATATATAAGGTGTTTTTCCCATGACACACCTTACACTATGTCACGGCACACTAGTGTGCCGCGGCACAGTGGTTGAAAAACACTGCCTTAGCTGACCAAATCCTGTGGGCTGAACAGATATCCAGACTCCCTACTCATTCTCTTGGGAGATTTTAACAGTGATATTCTAAATCAGGAACTGCCAATATACACTCAGCATGTCAGCTGTCTCACTGGAGGCAAGAATATTTTAGGCCACTGCTACTCAACATTAAAAGATGCTTATCACAACGGCAAACTAGAAATGCAAGTCTACAGAAAAACCACCCATACTAACCAGGTGCTCCACTACCAAACCCAACTTCCCACAAGAGAAGGTTATTAATATGTTGGAAGAAACTTGGCTGGAGCAGACCTCTCTCCCTTATTGAAGAGAAACATCAACCTGCCAGGTGGCCTGAGTGTGTTCCTATATTCAGAGGTTTAAGAGGAGATCACTGCCAAATATTGCTACCCTCCCCATCTCAAACACACCAACAATAGCCATATCTCCTATACCTGACACCTCCTCCCTCTGGTGATCCTAGAAAAAGATGTGCAGGGTCTATTTCATAGACAAATATCGGAAAAACACTAGGCCCATGTGGAACAACTCCTCCTTGCTGGAAAACCTATGATGAACAACTGGCCCCATTTTCACCCACATCTTTAAAAAATCCCTGGAGATGTGTTACGCCTCTTCTTGCTTCAAATGCTCCACTGTCATCCCAGTTCCCAATAAATTCTCCATCAGGGAGTTGAATGACTACAGACAGATTGCTCTGACTTCTGTAGTTATAAAAACCTTTGAAAGGTTAGTACTGGCCCACCTGAAAATCATCTCAGATCTGCTGTTAAACCCGTTGCAGTTTGCCTGCTGTACAAACAGATCGGCAGATGATGCTGTCAATAGGGCCCTGCACTGCATCTTGCAACCTCTTGAATCCCCAAGGACCTATGCAAGGGTCCTTTTTATAGACTTCAGCTCGGCATTCAGTCTCATCATTCCTGAAATTCTTTACTTTAAACTGACTCAGCTACTGGTAGCTGTGCTTGTATACACTTGTAGGTGGATTATAAGCTTTCTGACAGATAAAAAAACAGCAGGTGAAGCTAGAGAAAATCACATAGAGAACCTGTACAATTAGCACAGGAGCCCCTAGGCATGTACTCTCTCCATTGCTCTTCTCTCTGTATACCAATGACTGCATCTCTAAGTGCTCATGCACTATGCCCACATCTATCAAAAGGTCTCCAGCATGGATGGTGGGTGTTGCTGTCCAAAAACCACAGTCGGAGATAAGACTTCTCCCAGCAGGGAAACACAAATCGCCGCAAAGGAGTTTGATAGTTGAAGGTTTTGGAAGATTGACCATTCATATGACATAACTTGAATTTTAAATGTTAGCAACAAAAATAACAAAAATATTATTTGGATCAGGGGTCTCCAACTCAAAATGGTCCCATATTCCGTGACAATATAACACCTGGGGGCACAACCAAAGATAGAAGCCAGAAAATTTCAGTTCAGGAAAGCTGGTATGGTAAAGCTCTTCCTCCCGCACCCTCCCAAAGCAAGATTCTCTCTGTACCAAAATTTATTGAGGCTCTCGGGTGCTTTTGGGGTGCTTTTCCTGCAGAACCTAATTTCTCTCTCAGGTTCCTGGGGTGCTCTTTTTCTGGCTCAGGGCTCCTGCTGGAGGAGGGTCTTCTATGAACTAATAACAGAGGAATGTCCAGCTAGTTGGATTGAATTTTCCTTTGGTTAGAAAATTGCCACCACTGGCAGTTTCAAAATTACATGTTTGCCTTTCAAGTGATACTGTTTTAAAACAGAAGGGATTTCACAGCTCTTCTCCCACATAACAAAGCATGTCGCTCAAGTGCCTGCACAGATTATATGAAATGAGTAGGATAATTGGGATCATACCCATTTGCACAGCAAAATTCCAACCTGGGAGAAAATATCAAGTTAGGAAATTAGAAAACGTTCAGCGGTGTCCGTAGTAGGGTTGTGGGGGGAGCAAATGGTGCAGAGATTTGTGTTATAAACTTTATCCCTTTTATGCACTGCCCACACAGACACGCGTACACACACACACACACCTTTAATTAAATAAATACATAAATTAGAACTTTTATGATTCTGCTGTGGTTATTTTGATGAAAGCATCTATAGGTACATCTGGAGGCTATCCAAAACATAAATGACTTTCTGCACTTCTCATTAAATGTTAAGGAAAGTTCTTAAGAACAGAGTCCTTTATTTCCAAGATATTTCCTTCCTTTCTGCCAGTCCCCAAATGCTTATTATGTGTTAACACCCCCCAAAATATTTTACCCATTGTTCCTGAAAAGTAAAAGTGGTTCTTCTGGAGTGAGAGGAACGCAAAGCTTAAGAGGAGGAGGAATAAACCAACCCCAAAAGAAGAGAGGTCCTCTTGTCTCTGCACTGACTTCCTAAGCTTCTGCTGGCAGTGGCGGAGGCATCCCAGCCCCTCCCCACCCCTGGCCTGCTGTACTTTGGATACTGTGGAGCTCAAGGGGTCCTTTGCCCCACAGAG